AAAAAAACAAAAAACAAAAAAAAAACAAACATGAAAACAAAGGTCAGGATTTGCAGCTTCCTGCAGTGTGATCCCCCTAGACTTGGAATTAGCTGAAACCTGTCAGCCAATCCCAACCATCCCACACTTTTCAACTAACCTAGCATGTCCCACAAACTCCTGCTCAGCTGAGGATTATGGGATATGTAGTTCAGCATTTGCTTGTTGTTCCATTTACAAAAAAACATGAATGGTCTGTCTAAGCTGTTAGTAGTTGCACTGCAGATATTATTGGCATTACAGCTCCACTCACTATAGTGAATTTAACTAGGGCAGGGGTGCCCAAACTGTAGATCCCCAGATCTTATAAAACTACAGCTTCCATGAATCTTTGTAATTTTAAAGGCAGGAAGAGGATCATGGGAGATGTAGTTCTACAACACCTTTAGGCAGCCCAGAACTAGGGTTTTACAGGAGTTACATTTTAAAACGTCGTTCTCTACCCTGGGAGGCGCTCGGTTACATCCCTGCCTTAAGATATCATGTTTACTATAAAATTTTACTAATTTACATTCTCGACACCTTCAATTAAGCAAAGTTAAAATGCCAAGTCAATATTTTGAATCATATTTGTATAACCAAACCACTTATTACCCTTGTTTTCAGCAAGACGAGTCAAAGCAAACATATCATTTGAAAGATTTGTCTGTTCCTGTAGGACATATTTCTACTAAACCTTGGGAAAGTGGTGGCCATGGTGCTCTGTAAAGCGTTACTGACATGGAGGTATAAATAGAGTTATAGAGAATTCTGATGCCTATTCGTAGGCCCCCATCATACCAAATAAACATTATTGCACCATGCTGTGCGAGGAAGTCTGGTGCTGCTCACATCCCAACAGACCTGGATCTGGTGAGACACTCCCAATTTGGAAACGCCAATCTCATTTTCCAGGAATGATTCTTTGTTGTGTTACTCGAGTGTCCCAGAGAAACTCTCTAAAAAGTGAAACGCATCATTAACTCAAAGTGAATTAAAAATGAATTTAAGGCCAGAGTAGCCAAACTGACAGCACAGTTAACTTCTACAGCTCGGCTATTAAGCCTTAAATTTGAAATTAATTATGAATTTCCACCTCAGTAAATAACCCAGTAAATATACTAGTGAGTGCACAAGGCTATTGCAGGATATTTCTGTCTGTGACAGAGGACTCTTGGACCGGTAGTCTCCTCTGGTAGTGGGGTAGCCAGTCCCACCATATTATCTGGGACACATATCACCTACACATTATAGAAGTGCAGTAGATAAAGGTGTTGCATGGTAGTATGTAGCACTGAAACCATGCAGGTAGGTAATCAAATCATTAACCAGCAATCCTACAGCGTAT